CCAGAAATACTCCAAGTTCTCCAACTCAGCTTTCCCCACCCTCAACTCTGGGCCCACTCTGACTGCTGGTGGTCTGGTCTCTAGCTCCCGGACAAGGATTGGAATGAGTTGTACTAGTCCAACTGAGTCTCCATGACCACCTGGGTGGAGCTCTGATAAGGCAACGCCTGGTGTCTGGGCCATTAGAAAATTATCTGGGTCTCTTCCTCTCTGAAATCAATAAAAATATATATTTTTATAATTTATTAGAGATTAAAATCTGTTTTACCAGGTTGAGAATGAGAGTTAATGTTGGTAAAACTGCTGCTTCTATTGCTATTATTGAGCCACTTTGTGGTGGTGGAGCTAAACACATTTTTTTAAGGTCATGAAATCATATAATTTTATATATAAACTCGAGGTCCGGTGCACAAATTCATGCATGCGTGGGATCCTGCGGGCCTGGGGAAAGTGGGAGGGTATGTGTTAGTTTAGCCAGCACCACCCCTGATTTGGGGTCCGGGGCCAGCCGTGGGAGGGATTGCGGGAGGTTGGCTGCCCGTTCCGTCCCCATTGGGCCTGTGTTCTGGTCGCAGTGCCCATCATAGTGACCAGTTGTTCCGGTTGTTCCAGTTGTTCCAGTTTTTTGGCCTTTATATATATAAAAAACTAAGTGACCAACCGTATGTCCCTCCGACCGTTCAACCGACTGACCGGTAGATATGACGTGCACTGGCAATTTAAAAAAAAAACGTTGACTCGCATTCGTGATACTTGCTGGTGCCAATCGCATTCGATGCCAGAATGTATCTGAAGACCAACTATTGGCACAATGTACCTCTGAAGCTGAAAGGAAGTGGCGTCGTCCACAGAATATGTCTGAAAACAAACTATTGTTTAATCAATTTATCAGTCATTGTGTTTTATCAATTTTGTTTTTATATCATATTTTTGTTGTTTTTATATCATGTCTTTGTTGTTATATCATGTTGTTTATTTAGTAATCAATTATCAATCATTGTTTTTATCAGTGTTGTTTTTATCATGTTTTTGTTATTTTTATGTCATATCTTTGTTGTTTTATATCATGTTATTGTTTATTTATTAATCATAAATTATATATTATTTTCATATACATTTTAGTAATTTTCTTTCATCTCTGACACTTCTATTATAAAGGGCGAGTAGCAATATTAAAATATTTTGTATTTTAATTTTATAATAGTATATTGTATATACTATTTTGACATGTAATTTTTTGCAATAACATAATTACCACACTAATCCTTCTTCTAATTAATTTGCTTTCAAAATGCAGGAATCCGTGCACCAGGCCACTAGTATTTTTTAAAAATTTTGTCTTATTGCTTAAAGTATTACAAAGAGTATTATATATGTCTCCTTTTTTTTTCTCCCCTTGACCTTTCCCTGGCCTCCCATACCTCCCAGTGTCTTGTGTCCATTGGTTATTCTTATATGCATGCAAAATCCTTTT